TTCTGGGCTGTGTTTTGGGGTTTTGGGCTGTGTTTTTTTGAGTTTCGGGCTGTGTTTTTTTGGGTTTCGGGGCTGTGTTTTTGGGTTTCGGGGCTGTGTTTTTTTGGGGTTTCAGGGCTGTGTTTTGGGCTGTGTTTTTGGGTTTTTGGGCTGTGTTTTTTGGGTTTTTGGGCTGTGTTTTTTTGGGTTTCTAGGCTGTGTTTTGGGCTGTGTTTTTGGGTTTTTGGGCTGTGTTTGTTTGGGTTTCTGAGCTGTGTTTTTTGGGGTTTTTGGGCTGTGTTTGTTTGGTTTCGGGGCTGTGTTTTTTTGGGTTTCGGGGCTGTGTTTTGGGCTGTGTTTTTGGGTTTTTGGGCTGTGTTTTTTTGGGGTTTCTGAGCTGTGTTTTTGGGGTTTTGGGCTGTGTTTTGGGCTGTGTTTTGGGCTGTGTTTGTTTGGTTTCGGGGCTGTGTTTTTTTGGGTTCTAGGCTGTGTTTTGGGCTGTGTTTTTGGGTTTCTGAGCTGTGTTTTTTTTGGGGTTTCTGAGCTGTGTTTTTGGGGTTTTGGGCTGTGTTTTGGGCTGTGTTTTGGGCTGTGTTTGTTTGGTTTCAGGGCTGCTTTCCTGCAGTGTCACCCTGCAGGGGGGTTGGGGACAGTGGCCCCCCCGGGCTGGGCCCGCATTGCACAAGGCTGGGGAGGGAAGGGGGGGCTGGGCCGGGCTTAGCTGGGTTCACTTGGGTTTTATTTGGGGTTTATTTGGGTTTTATTTCATTTTTATTTGGGTTTTGTTTGGGTTTTAATTGGTTTTATTTGGGTTTTATTTGGGTTTTTATTTGGGTTTTATTTCGTTTTTATTTGGGTTTTATTTGGGCTTTATTTGGGTTTTTATTTGGGTTTTATTTGGGTTTATTTGGGTTTTATTTGGGTTTATTTACGTTTATTCAGATTTTATTTGGGTTTTCTTCGGTTTTTATTTAGGTTTATTCGCATTTTATTTGGGTTTTATTCGGTTTTTATTCAGGGTTTATTTAGGTTCTATTTCGGTTTTTATTCGGGTTTTATTCGGTTTTTATTCAGGGTTTATTTGGCTTTTATTTGGGTTTTATTTTGTTTTTATTTGGGTTTACTTGGGTTTTATTTGGGTTTTATTTTGTTTTTATTTGGGTTTATTCAGGGTTTTATTTCGGTTTTTATTTGGGTCTTATTCGGGTTTTATTCGGGTTTTATTCGGTTTTATTTGGATTTATTTGGGTTTTATTCGGGGTTTGTTTGGGTTTTATTCGGGTTGGTTTTTTTGTGTTAAATTCCGGATTCCTTCGGTTTTATTTGGGTTATTTTGGGTGTGTTTGGGTTTCATTTGGGAATTGCACAATCCCGGAGGGGGCGGCGGCGGCTCCCACGGGGGGGGCGGGGGGGGGACCCGGGGCCGCTCCTTTTTTTGGGGGGGGGGGAGGGGAAGGGACCCGGGGCCGCTCCTTTTTTGGGGGGGGGGAGGGAAGGGACCCGGGGCCGCTCCTTTTTTTGGGGGGGTTTGGGGGGGGGGGGGGGTTGCGGTTTGGGCCCCGCCCGGGAAATTCCGAAATTCCGCCCGCGGTGCCCGGGCCCGGGGGGGCACGGCCGGAACCCCCCAGAGCCCCCCCAAACACCCCCAATGCTCAGAGACCCCCCCAAAGTGCTCAGGGACCCCTCAATGCTCAGGGACCCCCACAAGTGCGCCCCTAAACGCCCCTAAATCCCCTCTGATCCCCAATGTTCAGGGAACCCCCCCAGTGTGCCCCTAAATCCCCCAGTGTGCCCCTAAATCCCCTCTGATCCCCAGTGCTCAGGAACCCCCACAAGTGCGCCCCTAAACCCCCTAAATCGCCCCTAAACGCCCCTAAATCCCCTCTGATTCCCCAATGGTCAGGAATCCCCACAAGGGCGCCCTAAACCCCCACAAGTGCTCCCCTAAATCCCCTCTGATTCCCCAATGCTCAGGGAACCCCACAAGTGCGCCCCTAAATCCCCCAGTGCGCCCCTAAATCCCCTCTGATCCCCAATGCTCAGGAACCCCCCCAGTGTGCCCCTAAACCCCCTAAATCGCCCCTAAACGCCCCTAAATCCCCCCCAGTGCGCCCCTAAATCCCCTCTGATCCCCCAACGCTCAGGGACCCCCACAAATGCCCCCCATAAACCCCCCCAAAACCCCCAACCCCCCCCATGCCCCCCCCCAAACCCCCTCCCCTCCCCTCCCCCCCCGTTTCCCGCTCCCGGCTTTGTTTGGTTTGGGGGGGGGCGGGGAGGGGGGGGAGGGGATGAGTCACAGTCCCGTGAGGGTGGGGAGGGGCAGGCCCGGCCCTGACCCCCCCCTGTGACCCCCCCGTCCCCTCTGTCCCCTCCCTGTCCCCTCTGTCCCCTCTGTCCCCTCTGTCCCCTCCTGTCCCTTCCTGTCCTCTCTGTCCCCCTCTGTCCCTTCCTGTCCCACCTGTCCCTCCCTGTCCCCTCCCTGTCCCCTCCTGTCCCCTCCTGTCCCCCCCGTCCCCCCCTGTCCCCTCCCTGTCCCCTCTGTCCCCTCTGTCCCCTCTGTCCCCTCTGTCCCCTCCTGTCCCCTCCTGTCCCCCTCTGTCCCCCTCCTGTCCCCTCTGTCCCCTCTGTCCCCTCCTGTCCCTTCCTGTCCTCTCTGTCCCCTCTGTCCCCTCCTGTCCCTTCCTGTCCTCTCTGTCCCCCTCTGTCCCTTCCTGTCCCACCTGTCCCTCCCTGTCCCCCCCATGTCCCCCCCCATGTCCCTTCCTGTCCCTGTCACCCCCCTGACCCCCATTTCCCCCCCTGGCGCCCCGGTCCCCATTGCTGTCCCTGTCCCCTCCCTGTCCCTGACCCTCCCATCCCCTCCTGTCCCCAATCCCTGTCCCTGTCCCCTCCTGTCCCCCCATGTCCCTGTCCCTGAGCCCCCTGTCCCACCCTGGCACTCCTGTCCCCTCCTGTCCCGTCCTGTCCCCTGACCCCCCTGTCCCTGAGCCCCCTGTCCCCCCCTGTCGCTCCTGTCCCCTCCTGTCCCCCCATGTCCCTTCCTGTGCCTGTCCCCCCCTGACCCCCCTGTTGCTGTCCCCCCCCCCCTCCCCCCATGCCCGTCTCTGTCCCCTCCCCAGACCATGGCACTGTCCCCGTCCCCTCCTGACCCCGCCCTTGTCCCTGTCCCCAATCCCTGTCCCTGACACCCCAGCCCCTCCTGGCCCTGTCCCCCATCCCTGTCAGTGTCCCTGAGCCCCCTGTCCTACCCTGTCACTCCTGTCCCCCCGTCCCCTCCTGTCCCCTGGCCCCCATGTCCCTTTCTGTCCCTGTCCCCCCCTGTCCCCCCCCCTTGCTGTCCCCTCCTGATCCCCCTGTCCCTTGTCCCTGACCCCCCTGTCCCCATCCTTGTCCCTGTCCCCTCCTGTCCCTGTCCCCAGGCCATGGCACTGTCCTTGTCCCTGTCGCTGTCCCCTCACCCCGTCCTTCACCCTGTCCCTGTCCCCAGGCCATGGTGCTGTCACTGTCCCCTGACCCCTGACCCTGTCGCTGTCGCTGTCCCCAGGCCATGGCGCTGTCCCTGTCCCTGTCCCCTCACCCTGTCCCTGTTGCTGTCCCCAGGCCATGGCGCTGTCCCCTGTCGCTGTCCCTGTCCCCTCACCCTGTCCCTGTCCCCTGACCCTGTCCCTGTCGCTGTCCCCAGGCCATGGCGCTGTCCCTGTCCCTGTCCCCTGTCCCTGTCCCTGACCCTGTCCCTGTCCCCTGACCCTGTCCCTGTCCCTGTCCCCAGGCCATGGCGCTGTCCCTGTCCCTGTCCCTGTCCCTGTCTCTGTCCCTGTCCCCTGTCCCTGTCGCTGTCCCTGTCCCTGTCCCCTGACCCTGTCCCTGTTGCTGTCCCCAGGCCATGGCGCTGTCCCTGTCGCTGTCGCTGTCGCTGCTGGCGCTCCTGGCCCTGGGGGGGGCACGGGCACTGCTGCCCCCCGGGGAGCTCCGAGGTGAGGAGGGGAAATTTGGGGGTTTGGGGCTAAATTTGGGGGGTTTGGGGCTAAATTTGGGGGGGGTTTGGGGTTAAATTTGGGGCGTTTGGGGTTAAATTTGGGGTTAAATTTAGGGGGTTTGGGGTTAAATTTGGGGGGTTTGGGGTTAAATTTGGGGGGGTTTGGGGGGTTGGGGACAGTGGTGGGGGTCATGGGTTTTAATTTTGGGGGGGTTGGGGAGGGTCTCATTTGGGGGGGGTCGCATGCTGGGGGGGTCACAGGTTTTAATTTTGGGGGGGTTTGGGGAGGGAGGGTAATTTTCCCCCAATTTTCCCCCAATTTTCCCCCAATTTTCCCCATCTTTTCTCTGTATTTCCCCCATATTTTCCCCACTTTTCCCCCAATTTTCCCTCACTTTTCCCCCATCTTTTCCCCTCAATTTTCCCTCACTTTTCCCCCCAATTTTCCCCCATCTTTTGCCCACTCTTCCCCAA